ACTGGCACTTTCTTCCAGTTATCAATATTTTATATAGAATATCACATCTACTGGCACTTTCTTCCAGTTATCAATATTTTATATAGAATATCACACCTACTGGCACTTTCTTCCAGTTATCAATATTTTATATAGAATATCACACCTACTGGCACTTTCTTCCAGTTATCAATATTCTATATAGAATATCACATCTACTGACACTTTCTTCCAGTTATCAATATTCTATATAGAATATCACACCTACTGGCACTTTCTTTCAGTTATCAATATTTTATAAATTTCAAATTTGCTGTACTTACTTTACCATTTTCCAAATACTTCGCAGCTCCCATAGTGTTCATAAGTACACCTTTTGGATTCCAACTGTTTAATACAAGACACAAAACAACCATGAGTTGAAATCCAATAATTTGTGCTGTGTATATGAGGCCACTCTGAAAGTTAAGTAATAGCATGGTAATGCATAACAGACCATTACTCCCAGTCAACATTGGGTAATATTGTAACAAACCATTACTCCCAGTCAACATTCATGAATAAACAAATATTCTATTAAGGAAGCTGTTTGTAGGACTGTTCAGCAAACTTCTAGAAAAAGCTGTACAAGAAAAATGGTAGCTGTAATTTTTTTGTTTAAAATATGTTTTACTTCACAAGCAAAATATTTCTTAAAGATGCTTTTTTTACTTATTTAGATTTTGTAATTTCTTTCCATTAATCAAAACTGGGGAGCTTAACATTTACAACCTGAAGCATTTGTGAAAAGTTTATTCAGAAGTACACATACTGTATCTTAAAAATAAAATACTGTTCTAATTACCAAGATGTCTAAAAGGCTAAAAACAAAATAAAATTAACAAATGAAATGTTTACACTTACCTGAACTTATACCTGAGAGGGTTATCAGAATTTTCTGGTGCTGGAAGACCACCAGCATATGACACAAAAGATGTAACCTGCAGAGAAATGTTTCAATTAAATACCATGATGAAATTCAGATTCAAGAAACACTATTGTTATATTACATGGGGGTAGATGGTGTAATACGTCATATTGATAGACATTGAACTATACTAGAGGGGTACTACAGCTCTATATTACTCTGTAACAATATTTAAACATCAGCAGCATTATTATCTAATACAGTTTTTAAAGGGTATCCACCATGCCTATAGCTGGCTGCACATGATTGGTTATGCTCAAGATGGTGTAGGCTAGATCACTGAGTTTTAACCTTTAAAAATGTTTTTTAAATTCATTATCTGTTCTTTTCATATGACTTTTCCAGTTAAACAACTGGAGTGATGATGTATTTCCAGTGCTACACCACAATTACTAGTTTTTTTATAAAAAATTATAACTTTTGTAATTTTTCCAGCCGATACAATTTTTATTAATCTTAGTTCATGTATAAATTTGTAAAATATATAAATTATCAAATGTTGTGATTATTCAGCATCTACCTAATCAGTAAATAATATTCTTGTTTTATAAATAGTTTTCTTTTCGAAAGTCAAAACTTTAAAGATAGACGTGTCATCAATCTGTATAGAATTCTTAACAGCAAGTTTTCAAAGTACAGAGAAAATCCCAACAATGTTTGAGAGATTTAATTTTATTGAAAAGTTATGGTTACCTTACAAGCTTCACTTCAAGTCTCCAAAAACAGCAAGAGTTCCAACATAAAACCAAAATAACCATGCATCCTTACGATAGGTGAGAAACTCAACATGTTATGACACAATTCAACCAAAGCATATTTCACATCTAGAAAAACCTTGCAAACACTAATGAAAGTGAAACAACTCATCAACAAAATAACGTGTTTGTGTGTAAATGCACACATTGGAGAAACAGGCCAGAACAAAGACTAAACGAACATAAGGACGCAGCCAGACTGGAAAAGCCAGTAAAATAACAAAAGACAGAACATAATTACACAACATACAATTTCATAAACTGGAACCAACTGGAGAAAATTAGGAAAATTAAAGGATTCCTATACATCATATTATACCAGCCTACACTCAGCTAAGACCAAGTATTTGATATCAGCAACCTGTTTTGCCAAACTACACATAACGAGTGATGACATTGTACTTCTTATTTCCAGATACATACACTAATGTAAAAAAAAACAAGTACACAGGAAGGAACTCTTATCACAAGGCCACACTAACCGGGATAACGACACTACAGAGTAAATAACTATGACTGCAGCCTGTAAGGCCTCAGTAGAGAAGCCAAAATCATCCCCTCTAGAAACAGGCAAGAGCAGTCCCTTCAAGTGGAAACTGTAATACATCTAAACACTGCCTAAAATACTCTTGAAACTAGATTCACTGAAACATTAAGCCTGATATTCATAACAAAAACCATGCTGGACTACAGATACATTTTCTCTCATTCATCTTTTAATCAGTACAGATTTAAAATCCCAGTTATATAAAAAATAATGTATCAGATCTATCTTTCATCTCACACAAATCACTACCCAAAAGACTCTTCATCCAATACCAAAACTTATAAACTGGGCAGGATTAAGAATACGAAAAGCATATGTAAAACAATATTTAAATGTGCAGTATAAAATCTTTATAGATTTTTTTTAGCACTAAACAAACAAACTATATCAAAATTAATACAAACTTTCAACATCTGTAGTTTCTGTGTAACAAAAATTATATTGTTATATTTATTATTTTCATGAATTTGTAGCTTGTGAACTTTTAGTTGTGTTGCTAAATACCTTGAAAATATATCAATTTTTGTTTCAGTGAAACTAAAAACCTCTGCCTGTTTTTATCCTAATAACATCATTTAAATGTACTGAAATTTAAATACAATCATAGACTATGCAATGTAAAAAAAGTGAAAGAAGGAAGTAAAATTCAAATTTATCTATTTGCCTTAGACATTTTCTTTTTGGTATGTTTTTTTTTGCCTAATGAAGCAATTACTTAATCCATTAAAAAACATATTATGGACAATTGATAGTGACTAACAAGTAAACATCACCATAAGACTCTAAGCCTACATACCTGCCAACCCTAAATATGCTTGTCTGAATTCTTGTTGTTTAAAAGTTATTTCTGTAACTTTCAAACAGAAATAACACAAATCTAGTATCAGCAACAAAAAAACATCACCAAAAACTATAAAAAAGAATTTCCATTATGTTAGTAAGTTGGGAACTATTTTTAAAAATGCTGTGTTTAGTCTTAAAGGGTGGCATTACTAGACTACTTCTTCAAAGCTTTTAAAGGTAGAAAAATGCTGTTAGAAATGATTGTGATATTTACATCATTTTCTAATTAAGAATTTCCCTAGTTTAGATATCTGCTCATTTGTCTTTCCATAAGGCAACCAATAAAATCAGCTCACACTACCTCGAGAAATTTGAGATTATTTCTAATTCTGTATAGTTTATTGGAAAATAATGACATAACTATGGTAACAAAAAATAAAAACAACTTAATATCCACTTCCAGATATTTACACAAACTAACTTTCACACATTTTTAAAGTTTTATTTGTAAAATGAACTAGATAGCCACTTTAAGGTGTTTTAACATCATATTCTGACAAAACATTATTGAATAAGATGCATCTTACATTTTTTGATTAAATTAAATTTTTGACACTAATCACATAAAGATTACCAGTGTTAAAACTGGTGAAACAAGAAGGTCTAATATTTTTTATGTTAGAGTGCACGTGTTCCTCTCTCCATTTCTCTTTAATGTTACAGTTTTCAAATCTGAATTATGTGTTAAAATAATATTTCAGATTTCTAACATGTCTCCTACCAATCTTTACTAAGATGTAACAGTTCCTAGTAGTAAGAAAGATGAACCTGAAAAGCTACTTTACATTTTAATATTCAACATTAAAAATCTCGTTAGTCCTATTGGTTTTTAATATTCAACATTAAAGATCTCGTTAGTCCTATTAGTTTTTAATATTCAACATTAAAGATCTCGTTAGTCCTATTAGTTTTTAATATTCAACATTAAAGATCTCGTTAGTCCTATTAGTTTTTAATATTCAACATTAAAGATCTCG